CACGTGGGCAGCATTATCTTCTCCCTCCCAAAGGTTGAAAACGGAAGTTAAAGAGGTTCATGAGCTGATATTTTAGGATGGACTTTCTCAGGAGTTGACTCTAAGACAAGATTTAACTACGAGTAGTCTGTTTGGAAGGTGATTCCAGGAAATGCTGGTGTGGGATGGAGAAGCAATAGAAAAGGCAAGAATGCCAGTTCAGAGGATTGACACATTTCCCTGTGGCCAACCTGGCCTCAGTCACACCACACAGGGTGCTGGATAATATGAAATGAACATTGGCGTTGTCTTTCTCAAAGGCAAGGGTACTGGAGGATGTATCCCTCATCTTCAATGCGCCCTTTTCTCAAAGGGGGCAACTCTCTGCACTAAGTCACCCCATACTTTCTCAAGAGAAAGCCCTTACTTCCATGCTATAGGAAACAGAGTGCTGGAATGTGAGTGCATAAGGAGCAGGACGCCGGTTTTCTGCTAGTGGGACCAGTGTATGCAGTCACTGCTGGCCGCTAGTCCCAGCAAATCCAACCTACTTTGTCATTGTTGTTTCCAACAAGAGGCTTTCTGAGCCTCCTCTTCTGCTAAGTATGGTTGGCTTTGTGGTGACCAGTGACACGACACCCCCTGAGGACCTCTGGGAAAGATTCTTTTTCTCTTTTGAGTACAAGAGAAAGATGCAAAGGAGGCTGTCACTCTGATGGTCTGTGTTTTCTGCCACTTACATGAAGTTGTGAGACCTCAGAAGGTGTCACCAGCAGGGATCATGAAGACCCTGGCATCATTTATATTCTGAGCCAATACCTCAGATGCATATATCCAGACTTACTGTAAAGTTTAACAATAGACAGGGGTATAACTCAGCAGAACAGTGCCTGCCTGGCAAGTGCAAGGCCATGAGTTCGATTCCTGGTACACCTTCCCCAAATAAATAAACTTAACAATGAGTGTCTATCTGGTTTAAGTTACTCGTGGTTGGATGTTCTGTTACTTTCAGCTAAATATATTCTTTCCACAAATTTGTTGTCTCTGAATGCATTCCCCTTTAACTTTTCTTCCTTGTCTGCTAGATATTACAAAATGTTAAGACTCATTTCCAACACTCTACAAGGCTGAGACCAGAGGCTCACAAATTTGAGCCTCGCATGGCAACTTTGCGTCTTAGCCAAAATGAAACAAAGCAAAACAATACACCTGTCTCTTCCTTTAAATGTTTGAGTAATCAGTGAGGGTAGTGGTTTAAGCTGGTATAAACCTAGGCCAAAATTTAAATTGTGCAATTAGAAATCTAACTAGGCTGATTACTTTTACTTTTGCAGTTTTACAACTATTTGACAGTTACTTGTTATTTCTTATCCATCTACACTGTCTGCAGATTTTGAAGTGTTGACAGGTACATAACTCACCAACAGAGTGTACTTCATAAATTTTCATCCATGTTTCATTTTCTGGACAGATGCAGTGTAGGATAGTCCTTATCCCTTTGGCTCAGACAACTTTGTTGAGCCAGTTACTAATTTGCATGTCTGGAGTTACCCTCCCTTGATGAGAAACTTTCAGATTTTTCTGGAGTGTTTGAGGACAAGCTTCTTGAAGTCCATGCCATAGATGTACTTGTGAGTGTTCATGGTGCACACACAGTCCTTGATTTACAATGGTCAGACTTAAGATTTTTGAACCTTATAATTTTGCAAAAACTAAACACATTAAGTATATGTCATTAATATTTCAAGTTTGGCCTCTTCCTACAATAACAATGCATTGTAAGTTACTCTCTTGTGATGCTCTGAGGTAGCAGTAAGCTGAAGCTCTCAGTTAATACAACAAGAAGAGGAAACAAACTGATACTCCCTACTGTGCTGTGTTGCTAAACTAGTATGTTTGGTAGATTAGGTGTATGCAATGCATTTGCACTTAAATTCTTTCAACCTGGATGGAATTATAGGAATGCAACCCCATTATAATTCTAGAAGCTTTTGCACTCTCTGGTCACTGCCTACTTGGCAGTGATGGCCTTCTTTTTACTGCTGTTCTGCAGAAACCTGTCTGAGAGACCAAGATCAAACTTAATTATTTTAATGAATTAGTGGATGCCCCCCAAGTTCTCTTTATCTTTTTATTTTATCTTAAAATTTACTCTGATATTATAGAATTTCTCCTCTACTACTCTCAAATGATTCATGAATCTGACGTAATACAGATGAGTCCAACCATGGTGGCAAGAAGGGACAGAACAACCTTGTCAGGAATCAGTAGAAAAACACATAGAAGTAAAAGCCAATCCTAACTAAGAGACAATGAACAATTGGTTATTTAATGATTCCATAGCACCTTCAGAATGCGGGGAACAAAGATAGGAGTTTTGAAGGGTTGAATGCTTTCGACTTCTCAATTTACGTATTAAGGTCCTAATGCACATGTCTGGAGTTACCCTCTGTGATGAGATTTGCAGATGGACATTTCTGGAGACAATTAAGATTGGAACACACTATAAGTGTGGGGTCCTCAAAGAGACTAGTGCCCTTATAAGAAAAGACTTCAGAGAGGGGTTTCCCCTCCCTGGTTCTCACCTCCCCCTTTTCACCATATGAGAACACAAGAGAGTTCAGTAATTAACCAGAAGTCAGGAAGACAGTTCTCACTAGGAAATATTGCAACACTTTAATCTTGGATTTCCTAGTCTCCAGAATTGTGAGAGAATAGATTTCTGTTGTTGGAGCCACCAACGTTATGCTATTTTGTGATGACAACCCAAGCTAAAGCAAGAGGGTTGGAGTTAAATAAAAGCTCATCCAAGCACAGATGCTGGGCTTCTGTGTAAGACCTTTGCTCTTTCTGAATCCAACTTCTCTTTCCAGAAAAAGGAAAGTCTGTATTACTTATTATGTACGAGGTTTCTAATAATTCCCTGAGATCTCAATTTCAGGTTAGATTTTTATATACTGTATCTCTCTTTCTCCAAACTGAGCACAGCTATAATTAGAAGTTGCAACCAAGAGCTTTCCGTATCACTTTGTTTTTTGTTTTTTGTTTTTTTATTTTTTGGTACCAGGGATGGAGCTCATAACCTTGCGCTTGCCAGGCAGACACTCATGCCGCTGAGCTAAAACCCCATGTCACTTTATTACAAATATCTTTTGGGAAAAGAGACAACAAATAAGTCAACCACATCAGCAATGGCTTGCATTTATTTTAAAGTCTTTGAGTGCTGTAAAAGCAAGTAGCATATTAATAAGACATTTACAAATCATCCCCAGCTACTCTCTAATTAACTTATTGTGTGCCTTCTCTAAACTAACATACACAGAATTAGAGAAACACTTATTTGTTCTGTTGCTAAGCAACCACTATAATTTGCATAGCAAAAAATCATTAATATATTTAAGACGAAATTCCATCTATTTATAACAGTCAGATTTGAAACTTGACATCAAAGTCTTAGCATTACTTTTTTCTCTGTTCTTAAGTGAGCAGCTCAAAGAAACTGAGTTGTACTTAATGCATAATATTACTGAGTTCTGTGGTATTTTCTGTTATTTGCCTGATTGATTGATTGACTGAATATCATTTTGGAGATCAAACCCAGGGCTTTGGATAAATTTGGGAAGTGCTCTACCACTGAGTTATAACTCCTAGTTTTGTTCATTTGTTTGTTCAATTCATGGTTACCAGAGATAGCAGAGATCTTAGAAAGACTGTCCAACTACTCCCCATTTCACAGTCTGGGAAACAGAGTCCCAGGAATGCAAAGTGTTTTCTCAAGCACAGACAATGGCTATGTAGCAGGAACATTCATATTACCTGAGTCTTCACCTAGCATTTCTTCATCCACAGTCCGTTTTTTTGTCTCAGATAACTTGATTATGCTAATCCTGGCAACCATGATTAAAATAAAATTAAAAATAAAAGCAATAATAATAAATAATAAAAGTATCCCTCCCATAGGACACTCTGACTAGCAAATATCCTGAAACTTGACTATGTTTGAGTAGAGTGCTAATGATTCCCAATGGCAATTGTGATCTAGGGTTTTATTTATTTGTTTGTTGCATGTGCTCCTAAAATGTCTAATCACAGAGCACTTTTGACCTACCATTCTCTTGAGTTGAGAATAAAATAGCCAAACTCTTCTCTAGATAAAAGCTGGGCTGTATATAACTAACTACATATTTTAAAGACACAATCTAAGTTCAGGCATAAGGAGAGACAAAGGAGGACAGAAACAGAGATTTGTGCTTGCCAGGCAGCCTCTGGGTTTTCTGTCTTACTATAAAACAGTGTAAATGTATGACCAGGGGAATCACCTAAGGCACTTGTCAAAAACCCAGAATCCTAGGTCCCACCAAAGAGCCACTGACCCAGAGCTGACAGGGGAGACACCTGGGTGTCTGCAGTAGCCCCCTGTATCATCAGAGGACGCATCCAGCGGCTCCTATACATGCCTAAAACTGCAGCGTACTAAACTCTCAATAAACTATGTCATGCACACTTACAGTAAGGCTAAATTTATAAATTAGACATAGTAAGAGATTAACAACTATGAATAAAATACAGCAAGTCTATCAATATGCTGTGCTATTATAAAAGTTATAAGAACATGGCTGATATCTCTCTCATAGCATTTAAGATAAATACAGTATTAATATTTTCATACCACAATTGACCTCAGATAAGTGAAATCACCAAAAGAAAAATTACAGCTCAGTGGGAACTACTCTGTATATATTTACATGACACTTGTGTATTTTATTATTAGACATAAATTTGTTGAAACTTGTAATAGTGGTCTAAAATGTGAGAGTTGTCAGTGCTGGGTTTTACCAAATAGGAAGCGTTATTTAACTCTCGGAAGCTCAGCTTCCGTCCAGGGAGAAAAATAATAGCTACTTATAAGGCTTCTGAGACCATGTTTGCCCCAGCTTTTCAAAAATAACAGCACCAAAAAAGATTTTTCTACTGAGTTCCAGAGCCAAGATGGCTAAATGTGTTATTTCTGGGCGCTGCGTGTTATTGTGGAGTGTAAAGGAACTGGAAGGCAGGAGAGGGCTCTGCCACGCAGCGGGGAGGATGAGTCAGAGGTGGCTTTCACAGTCGTCACAAAGTGCGCTGTGTTCTTGGGTGAAACTGAAGATTGTGGCAGGGCCAGAGAGGATCAGACACATAATCACTACATGGGCTGGTCACGCCGAGGGGCCACAGGAGACCATTGGAAGAGGAACCATAGTATGAATGTCAGCTCCAACCTTCATTAAAATGGGTAAGTTTTTAAAAATTCCCTGAGCCTCAGGCCTACTACTTATAAATATATTTTTAAAATGATATGTGCTTTATCAGGGCTGTGAGGCCACGGTAGTGATCAAAGCAGATAACAGGTGGGATTTTCATTTTGAAACAAGAGATTGATTCTATATTAAATGCTCAATAAACAAAACATAGAATCTCCCAAACACAGTTTCTATAAACCTTTCCCTATAACCTGCCCAATCCGAAACAGTGAATGGGACTTTTCTTTAGATTTTTAACATTCACATTCATGGTTAAGTTTTTTTGGGTATTGTTTTTTGCAATTTTATGTTTTGCTTAAGGATACATATGCTTTGTGTCTTTTAAATATCACATAAGTACATTACATGTACTGTACATGTACAATGGCCATCCAAGATCAGCATTCGCTTAATCTTCTATTATTGAACTTTTGCTTTGTTACAAACCTTGCACCATTCTAAAATTCATTGTCATGTACATCTTTGTGTTTTAATGGTTTAGCTAAAATATATACTTCCTAGTTTTTCTTTTGAAGTCACTTTCAGAGAATGTGGAATTAGTCACTGTCATATGATTCCAATTTGTAAGATAGTTTTTAAAATCATAAAATGCTGTGCAAATGTGAGGGTCAACAGCTCATACATAACAAGTTCGTCCTGCAGTGGGAGCAGAGCTGCACCATGTGCCATGGGAACAGCTCCCAGAGCACCCAGGAACCCTATGTCAGTCCTAAGGACACGAATACGTTAATAACGATGGCACAGATGAAATCAGCAGAAACCTACCCTCCCAAGAGTTCTCCCTTTGGACTGGAGAATGACATCTCCATAAATAACAACCAAATAAACCGTTAGACCAATCAGTTATAAGCTGCACAACCTCTGGCAAGATGCTGCATCTCTCTGTGCCTCTTGTCCCATCTGAAAGAGAGGGGCTGAGATGATGTCTTAGATCTTTCCAGTTCTGAAAATTATGTGATTTTGTCTCACACTGTGGCTCATGTCTTTTGCTGAGGTTTCTAAATAGCTCTATGCTGCTCAGGCTAACTGCTCTCAGTGTGAGTGTATGTAAGATGATAAAGATCAGACTGGCTCCAGAGCAGGCAAATGGCCTGGTTGCAAGCTCTGCTATGGGGGATAGTTTGTCTAGAAAGGACACATTTGATCATCAGGCTATTTGGCTCAAGATCTTTCCATGCCAAAGCAAGGCTCAGTGTTTTCATGGGACACACGTCTCCTATGGACATCTGCTTCTTTTTCTGGCTTTGGAAGAGGTAAATCCTGAGTAATTCACTTAAATAAATAAAAATGATGTTAGTTCATCAATGAAAGAAAAAGAGAACACAACCGAGGCCTAAAATGAAGATGCTTTCATGCCCTAAGTGTAAATAAAACCAGAATATTTTATTCTACTGACTAAACTCTAGTAAGTCATAGAAATGGATCATAGAAAAGACTTCACTGCTATCTTTGTTTTTATATTTTATTTTATTTTTTACTTTTGCTTTTAAAATCCTTTGCAAGGATGCAACTCAGTCTGTGAAAGAATTAAATTTGAGTCTGTATTCATGGCCAACACTTTATTTCCGTTACAGCGGAGGAGGTATCCAAATATTGCTTCAGTAATTTCTGTAAATATTATTATGCCACTCTTAACTCAAATGCGACATCTTATTCTTTGTGTGTTTCAGAAACTCTCTTGTTTTTTGAAGAAAATGACAAGACTCGGTAATTCTGATCTCCCTGACCCCTTAGAGAAGGAGGTGCCAGGTCGGACTGAGACAACTCCATCCACTCCACTTTCTGCCACCCTTTTTCTCTTCCAACTTTAGATTCTGCATGATGGAGACAAAGAGCTGCATTTGATACTTAGTAACTAGATTTATCTAATCTTGATGCTGTGTTCTTGCTACTGATTGGAGGTTGCACTGGGTTACTTCTTGCAGCTAAAAAATAAACAACAAAGTTACAAAAAACAAGGAGCGGGCAAAAGTAATTTTTTTTAACCACTAATATGTATCTCTGTGTCTGTGTCCTGTTTGGTGTTTGTCATATCTCCTGCTAAAAGTGCAGTGGTTTTCCCTGTCTTTATCTTTGGGCTCAGCCCTGTCACTTGGGATTTTCCCAGTCATGATGACCTAATGGCTTGAAATGTTCTCTTGTGGTTGTGCTTGTCAAGTTAGGTTTCTTCTTCTGCCTTTCTGGCATCACCCAAGGAAGATCATGTTCTGGCTGGCTTGCTGGCCAAGGAAGAGAATGAGGGAGACACGTGGGACATAGCCATCACAGCTGCTATGACCAACGTTTGTCCCCTCCAGTCTACCCACAGATGTATAAGCAACAGTAATGACTGTTGTTTTAAGCCACCAAGCTCTGGCATGACTCATTATGCAGCACTATGTGGCGATTGCTAGCTAATAAAAAAAAGCAGATACTGTTCTAGCAAGGAGTGCATATTTGCCTAGAAACAAAACACCAACTATAAATTATCTTTGTTTGTTGTAAAATATAGTCATTACGACTTCCTCCACAGTAGCCTGCCTGAAGGCAGTAACCTGTGCACGTGAGATCCTCTGGGCCTTAGTCTCCACGTCTGTGGAGTAGGGTACCCGTGCAAGAAGACATACTCTGAAGATGCGCATGAGCCCACACGGAAAACAGAGAATGCACTGCCTGCTCCTTGGTGCTCAAGAAAGAGCAGCTGCCAAGCAGCCTAGCAGGCTCTAAGTTCCTTTGGAACTTAACACTACAACATTCAGCAACGAGCTAGAAAAAATAATACAGAGACATACAATCAGCTCTGCCGGGCAAGTATTTCATCACCCAAAAGACATAGCACCCGCAGGGGAAAATTGGTTTGTGGTCCAGCTAGAAAATACAGCTGCTGTGAGCATTTGAGTAAAGTCAGATAATTTAGTCCTTCTTTACTGCTTTTTATATCTTCTGATTTTTGCAGACACTCTCCACTGGTACCACTACATTAGTAGCACCTTTCTGACCCCAAATAATCTCCATTTTTAATGAAAAATGAGAAGGTACGGAGCTGAGGGATTCTTTGAGAAGCATTAACTGTTTTGATGGTTACTTGTATCAGCAGCAAGTGTTCTTTCTTATTTGTTTCCCTTTATGGAAGTGATATAAACTTTCTTTTTAAAATAAATTTATTTTTAAAAGAAGTCTCAAAAGAAAATTAGGGAAAATATCATAAAGTAATTTTTGACATGGCTGAAAGTGGATATTTAAATGATGTTTGGCAATCACAGAGTTAATATATACTTAACTGATTAAATCAGGAATGAAATGAAAACTAAAAATGTGATTGGGTTTGCTAAAGCATTTGCTAATTCAGACTTGATACTAGTATTGATTTGCTCCACTCTGATCCCTGAAACTGGCAATGTTACTGGTCTATAAGCAGAAGGAACACTTCTAAAAAGAAAAAAATCAGCATAACATTTCTCATTTCAACACCAAGGGCACTGACAACTAGCCCCTTTCAATAGTCTGGAAAGAAAAAAATAGGGAATTTCTGTTTTCCAATTTTATTGAAGCCGGCAGGAACCATCTGCACGCATACCAGACATACAGGGTGACACCCATGACTTCAAATAGGTTGGCAAATTATACCAAGTGTGTCTTTGTGTCTACAATTATCAATTTCAAATCCCAGGAAAATGTGCATAGAACAGAATCAGCAGTGGTGCACTCTCTCATTTCTCCGTGGAAACAGTTATTGTTTAAGACCAATTAGCATTACTAGTGGTCGCTTCTTCCTGAGGGTTATACTCCAGTCTGGGAGCATCTGCTGTACATTTTTTCATTTCTTTCTCATTTTGAGCAATTTGGTTCCTAAGCTCCGTTTCCTTGTGGCTTCCTGGAGCTCTGATGACAAACCACTACACTTTGTTCCTGTCCTTTCAGGCCCTGAAGGGCACCAAAGAACACACGAAATTTGTTTCTAATTTTGTGTCTGCCAAAACATTCCTGGGGTAACAATACAAGCCTATAAAAATAAGATGCACCATCCCTCTAATTCCACAAAATAAACAAATCCAAAAGGAAATCAAACACAGTCCTCAAAAACACAGCATAAATATTTTTAACCCATTCCCCCTTTTCTAAGCTGGTGAAAACGTGTTCCTGAATTATGATTGAGACTGTATTCTTATTCTTTTATGTTTGCAAAAAATAATCATAGACATAAACAAATGAAAAGAAACACTGAGGCTTTCTTCTGAGGTTCATGTTTTGTAAAATGAAAGTCCCTAAGGACAGTTTAAGGGAATGTGGAATCCAATTTCCTCACTGGTGTTAGAAGTTTTATTTTTAACTTAAGTACTCAAAAAAAAAAAAAAAATCTTTACCGTGCATCCTTATCCTCTGTTGGAATACACAGAGACACAAAACAGAATCATCTTTTCATTTTCATTTTTAGGTAGTTCAGGGTAAGTTAGAGCCCTGAATTGTTGAATCTTGGCCAAGGTGATGTCATTAAATCTATAATGAAAACAGTATCACTGAGAGAATTAATTCATTATGGTGGAATTAAGTTAAATCCTTTATGATGTGCCATTAAGCACCCAAACGGACTTGCTTGCATCAACCTGAGTGAAGCACATTCAAACACAAAAATGAAAAATAAAGTTTCAGCTCAAACCTTGCACAATATTAAGAAGCTTTCAGAGTTAGTCATTTAACAAAACTATTTATAATTATCATGGTATTCAGCATCTTATGATGCTTTATATGTTACAGAGCCAAATACCTTGTGGTATTATATGACATCTCTGCCCAGGGGAATACAATTTGCAGTATAAATCATGATTATATATCTCGTAAATGTTTTTGCTATGTTCCTTAGTTCCTACAACAGCCAAAACAGCACAAGAATTTCTTAACATTTAATTAATTCTCAAAATATTGTTATACTCAGTCCAGACATGATAAAATAGCATTGCCTGAGTTGAAAGCAACCTGGTAAATATTTTCAGAACATCTCTAATTTCCAAATTTACCGTGTAATCAAGAAATATTTATTTTCTTAGGTTCTGCAGAGAGAAGTAAACAAAGAGAATGTTTTCCCTGTCCTTTAAGATTTTACAAGTTCCATCCGGAGCCGTAACATATTCATGTAAAATTCTATTGCCAAGGACCTGCGCAGAAGGGCAAGAGCCACGTAACTATTAGCCAGGTACTTATAAGGAGCTATTTTTGCTTCTGACACCGAATTTCTGCTGAGTCCAAGGAAATTCCTCACTTCCTCTCTATATCCTGGCTCACCACATATTTATCTAGCATAATGACTGCTTATGGAGGGGGCTGAGTTTCTCAGAGAAAAAAAAATTATAATGATATTCCACATGAAAACTTGCATCTTAATATTTTTTTAAAGTAAAGGTTTCTGCTTCAAAAATTAGGTCATTTCATAAGGGTGAAATAACATGCAATCTCAGAAGATAACTTTAAAAGTCTCAATTTGTGTTCAAAGCATCTAGCTTCTGACATACGGCTGCTAAGTGAAATTTCCCGAGCTCAGTAAAATGTCTTGACAATTGACTGCATATAGTTTCTACCGAAGCTAGCTATCAAAAAAGTTGTAGCAATCATGCCCCAGCATTCATGATGACCAGCCAACTCTTTGTCTGTAAAGCCCGTCAGAGCCCCTCACTGGCTGTATCACTGTTCTGTAATAATCTTACAAAAAGGAATTTTATTTTTGTAAATTGGCTTTTATGACAACACACATTACCTCAATTCTTAAAATCATAAAAAGAATGCTGGGGCCTAGCCAATGACCAGCCTGCTTTATACAATATTGATAGTAAACCCCTGGGCAACAAAGGAATTGTGATGGTGTCTTAGTTTTCTTTGTAATGAGATTTGGCCAGGATCAGGAAAAGCATGTATTTATTTTTATTTATTTCAACTGTATAGTCTATTTGCTTCCTAAAACCCTTGCAGTGGCAAAGGTTTTTGTGTTTGCAAAAACCAAACAAACAAACCCCCATATACATCAAGGTAGGTATAAACATAAAAATGAAATGTTTCAAAGGTAAAAAAGAAAATAATTAATAGTGAGTAGTTTAGACAAATACTACCGCTACCATTGAGTAGTAAATGAATTGAGATGTAGCATTTGCTGTTCAAGAAATAAGCAGGGCAGAAAACTCGGCTGGTCCCCCAGTAAAGCTTACCGGTGGTTTTGTTTTCGGCTGGCATTCATTTCAATTGGTAGATGTTCATGCTGTACTAGATATTAAATACTTTTTATCACCACTCCAGGAGCCAGGCAGAGAATAGGCTCACAAGAAATTGTAGTAGTTTTTAGTATTCATGTCCTGTATTCCCAGCAGCTGTATCACCTGCAGCATTCCGTTAATATCATTTGAAATAACAAAAAAACATATTCATGTTTTCCCTTTCGGCATCGGCCTGCTAAGTGCCCTCTATCAGCAGAAGGAGGCAAAGACTTGATCTTTCTTTGGGCTCTATTTTCTTCTCTGGGAGAAATGTGTATAACAGGCCATGACTCGAGTGATATTTACTAACAGTCTGATTCTGGTTCCTAGCAAGACTTTTGCAACCACATTTTAAATACCTGGAGACTCAGTTCCAGTCTATTGATGAGGAGTAGGCAAATATTATCCGGTGTTTCTCTCAAGTTTGACATAGGAGGGGTGGGATGGGATGGGGAGCATCTCTTCTTTTCTCCAATTTTTCTCATATTTAAGTTTGGAAGAGCTCATGAGCTAATGGTACTCTTCCCTCGTGTGAATAAAGGACGAGGTGTCTGCTTTCCCTTCAAATTGCCTGGCCCTCAATCAACATCACCATAAAAGTGACATATGAATATTAAATCCAAATATTTTATTGGTACAGATAAATATGATTTGTAAAAAGAGTCAAATTAACAATCCATTACATACTAATGGGCTCTAATCAATAAGTTTAATTTGACTAAAAGGAGAAGGGCGGGGGAAGA